ATTTTGTCAAAAGCCAGTTACCTGGCAATCATTATTAGCACTGTTTACTCAGCTGTTGGCTCAAACAGTTGGGAAAGCCTAGCTACAGACTAGCTGGGGCTGTCTATAAATGGAGATTAGGCTGAAAACAAAGTGACTTATTTGTCTGTAAAATGGTGACCAGTCACTGATGACAAAGGTTTCCTGCCTGCCAACAATTATGTGATTGGCTCCCATGTAGCTGAACAGCTTGGTGGTGTTAACATTCATGTCAGAAGCCATCAGATCAGAAAAAGGAGGGAGTTGTTTTCCCTCTGCAGTAAAAAGAATCTCAAATCTGAAGATCTTAGATTGTTCTGAGGAAAGGTCACCAGACCCAAAATGGTAATTCTGATTTTTCCTTCACAGTTGCTGCCAGACCTGCTGAGCGTTTCCAGCAACTTCTGTTTTTGTTCGATTTACAGCATCCGCAGTTCTTTCGTTTTCTTTCCCCTGAAGATAGCCAGTTTATTTCCGTCCATTGGTAAGCGGTGGCTTTTAAGAGAGACTTTTAAAAGTGTGAACCAGTCACCCAGTGCCTCCTATAAATAAGTGAAAGCACCCGGAGAAAGAAGATCAAGAATCAGCATCCTGATCAGGAAAAGGATAATCTCAGAAAATCCTGTGAACAAGAACCACTGAACCTGCTCTCCAGACTTTCCCTGTACCCATTTTTTTTTGTCTGTCAGTACATGCACATAGACAGGGAGTTTACATGTGTTAGAATGTTAACTAAGAGTTATATGTCAACAGTTCATAGTTATTTATCTGTAGTTAAAATGTATTTATTAGAATAGTAATTATTCATTATAGAATGGTCTGTGTTTTCAGTCAGCTTGGGTCTTAAAAAAACCAAACAGTTATCAACGTATATCAAAGACAATTAATCCTTTAATAGCCTCATAAAACTGTGAACCAAATGTGAATTCAGCTCTTCCTTAGAGAATTAGTACTGGATCCTTTGAAAACAGCCAGGAGAAAGACAGACAATTCATTCCTTTATAAAATCTTCAACTTTTGTGTTAACCCCAAGAATAGCAGGACTTGGTTTCCAGCATATTACTCAGTGATACGCATTAGTGCTAATTTCACACGGTTAGAGTTAAAAAGCAGACACTTACTACCAGAGCGCACTGATCGACAGGCAATCTGGGGTACGTTAGGAAAAATAGCAGTCAATTCCTGCAGTTTCAACAGATTTATTAATTGACAATTTCCAATGGTCGCTACTGAAGCTGAGAATGTTAGGAGTTCCTGGCTGTTTTCAAAGGATCCAGAACCAGTTCTCTAAGGAAGAGCTAAATTCACATTTGGTTCACAGTTTTATGAGGCTATTAAAGGATTAGCTGTCTTTGATATATGTCAATAAGTGATTGATTTTTTTTGAAAATGAGCATTTTGACAACTTGTAAGGAATTAGATTGTTGAATGAGTTTCACAAGAGTTATTTTCAGCAACAGGTGTATATGAGCGACAGCTCTCCCAGCTTGTTAGAAACTTAATTTTTAGAGAGTTCTCCACGTGCTTCCTGAAGACTACGTATAATTCGTTACTGAGAATGGTTATGGAAGAGGCATGAGGGCGGGGGAACTTATGAGAATCATGTAAGGTACATGGCCCATGGATACGGCATACAGGATAGACACAGGAGATGGCATTTTTTTGTAGGAGGGGGTCTTGGTGATCATCTCGAGGATTTAGATGATGAAGGCTAGAGTGCTTAACAGTGTTTTATACAACTAGGATGAAGTCCCAGAGAACTGCAGCAGGCCTTCTAACCATCCCATCTCAGCAACTATCTGTCTCCAATGCCAGTGAGCCAAACTCCATTCTACCCACACTAACAGTTAGGCACCCTTCTTAAAAAAAAACAGTAGAGTGTGCAAAGGAGGACTTGTTCTTCTTGCCTCAAGAGGGAAGATCCAGCTCTTAATGTTCAAGTCATGAGAAGAAGCTGTCAGACTTGTTATCTCTATTGAAGGAAAGTGGTGAATGTGATATGATCAGGGACGGTAAAAATACAATTTGTTTCATTCAGGGCATTTGAGGGTTTACGGATAAAATAGACTGGCTTTAAAACGAACAAGTTGTGAATGAAGAGGTTATAAGCAACCTTTCTTCTACATCACAGAGAAAGAGATGTATGATAGCTTCTCTAAAGAATTTCTTGGTTGAATAAATCAAAGATCAACTGGATAAATATCTGTCTGGGATTGGGATTGGAAGTTATGAAACAAAAAACAAAATTGCTGGTAAGGCTCAGCAGGTCTAGCAGCATCTATGGAGAGAAATCAGAGTTAACACTTCAGGTCCAGGGACCCTTCCTCAGAACCTGAAACGTTAACTCCGATTTCTCTCCACAGACGCTGCCAGACCAGCTGAGCCTTTCCAGCAATTTCTGCTTTTGTTTCTGATTTCCAGCATCTGTAGTTCTTTTGGTTTTTGTTTGGAAGTTATGAAGATAAGTATAGACTTAGAAGGTTAAGTCCTGAAACCGTTTTACAATTTGAAGACATTCTTATCAATTTATTACTATTGCCCTCATTGAATTCTTAAAAAGTACAGAGATCTCGACTGGGAAACTTTTGTGAAGAACAGGCCAGGGCTATTTCAAAGTGCAGTATTATTGATCCTGTGATTGTCCAAGTTTATATTCTTTTTGATGTACTAGAATAATCAAATATAACAACATCTGAGTTTAATTTAATTAATGCAACTTGGATTCCCCTAAACATCTTAGCAGCAAAATCCTTATATATATATATATATCTATCAATACTTACAGAACACATTCCATCACAGGCTATTAATCTATTTTATGGTTTCAAGTCAGTTTGTATTCTACAGTAGAAATTGAGGCAGAATTGTTCTAGGAATAATCTAGATTAAACGATTGCTACATATTTAAATCAGGAACAGGCAAAATAATTTTATACTAACAAGAGTTAAGAACCATTTCCAAGACTTTAACTTTCAGATTCAACCAATATTACAAAAATCACAAGTAAAACGAAAAACAGTGCTGGAAATATTTAGGAGGCCAGGCAGCATCCGGAGAAAGATAAAAACAAGTAACATTTTTGGTCTTTGACCTCTAGTGAACTGGTGAAAGATCCGAGACCAGAAATATTTTTATCTTTCTCTAAACTTTATAGTTTTATTTCGGACTTCCAGCATACTTCCAACATACAGACCTCCAGTGCATGTGAGGAAAGGTTTCTTCCTGGGAGCAGTAGCAGAAATAGAGAGCCCAATGCAGGGAAGATCAAGCCAGCGCAGGGGACAGTGGGATAGGGAGCCCACCACTGCAGCGATTGCAGGCAGCCAGAAGTCTCCTAGCATCTACCGCAGCGTTGAGCGAGCCCAGCACTCAGGACATCGAGCCCTTGTGGGGAGTGCGAGCCCAGCACTTAAGAAGGACATTAACATTGAATTTTTAACTTTATTCATTATTTTTCCATTTTGTACCCAGGTATTTTGCATCTAAGGTGGTGTCAGGAATGGCAGCGTTGTACTTTTTTCACTGTACTCCTGTACCCTTTACCTGAGTACATGTGACAATAAAATCTAATTCTAATTCTAACGCACGGTAGTTTGCTTCTTTTCAATTTAGTGCTAAGGGACACAAAAGACAAATTGAAACATCACCTTCATGGTCAATTGCTCTTGGATAGCTTGCTTTTTAATACAGCTGATGCAACCAGGTCCATGTCTATTTCAAGTGAACATGCAACACAGAAGGCCATTCAGCCCACTGTGTCCGTACTACTTAAGAAAAACTTTGAACAACTTCTCTTGGCCTTTAGGACAGTCCAATCTAGCAGTGCTGTACTAATCTATACCTCCTTTCAGTCAAAATGCTCTGAATATGGTCCTTCAACAGAAACTAGATACATTCAGCAGGCAAGACTGGAGCTAAGCATGAGCACAACTGGGTTGAAAGGCTGGTAGCATGCAATGTTTGTTTGTACAGATGAAAGCTCATATGAAAACTGGTGCACGGGAAGAAAAAAATCTCACTTAAGACTAAAAACACATACTAAGCTTCTAGCAAATCTGCCTCTTCTCAGGGCGCAAATTCACAGTATTGTTACTATCAACTCATTGATGCTAAAGCAAACTGATTTCTTATTTCGGAGCCAGCTTTGTAAAAAAACATCATGTGCTTCAATTAATTAGTAAAACATAACATTTTGCATTCAATAAATGTCCTAATAATAAAGCAAACACTGTGCACCTGAACAAAAGTAAAAGTGATGATGGAGACATTTCATACAGTTTTCTTAGAAATAGTAATAGTCTCAATGTCGACTTTACAAGCTTCAAAATTTCCCCACCCCCAACCCCATCCCAAGACCAGCCCCCGCTCTCGTCCCCACCTCCATGACCTGTCTGTCTTTTCTCCCACCTATCCACTCCTCCCACCTCACTGACCAACCCCCACCCCCACTTCCTACCTACACTCACCTCACCTCTACTCACCTCATTCCCACCTCCTTGACCTGTCCGTCTTCCGTCCCACCTACCCGCCCCTCTCTCCTCACTGACCAACCCCCATCCCAACTCTCTACCTACACGTACTTTTACTGGCTTCATCCCCGTCTCCTTGACCTGTCCGTCTTCTTTCCACCTATCTGCTCCACTATCCACCTTCTATCATTGTCTCTCCCTCTATTTATTTCAGAGCCCCCTTCCCCTCCCACATTTCTGAAGAAGGGTCCAGACCTTTCCTGCTCTTCTGATGCTGCCTGGCCTGCTGTGTTCATTCAGCTCCACATCTTATTATCTCAGACTCCAGCATTGGCAGTTCCTACTATCTCAAAACAATTGTTTAGCCTTGAATGCTACAGTAACAGGTCAAGGATCGCACTTTAACAAAAGTCTGTTCAATAGGTTTAGTGTCAGATCTGAGAGAGGTGTAACTCTACACCACTAATTAACATTGTTTTAAACACCAAGAGAGTGGAGTTTTATTTCCTTACCTTTGTTACCAGTCTCAATGTACCATACTGTTCTGAAGACAGATTGCTCTTCACAGTTACAGAAACCAAAAGCAAGGACACCCCCAAAATTCCACTAAATAAAAAGAAAACAGTATTTACTGTTTTAGAAATCCTTTCATTTCACACAGAACATGGGATGTGGTGTAATACCAATTTGTTACAAAAGAAACAAAGACTTTTACATCATTTACATCAAAACCAATCCTACATATTCACAGGATTTTATGAATCCCTACGGTGTGGAAACAGGCCCTTTGGCCCAACAAGTCCACACTGACCCTCACAGCATCCCACCCAGACCCATCCCCCCTATAACCCATCTAATCTACACATCCCTGAACATTACGGGCAATTTAGCATGGCCAATCCACCTGGCCTGCACATTTTTTTTTCCATGGAATGAGGGTGTCGTAGGCCAGGCAGCATTTATCGCCCATCCCTAATTGCCCAGAGGGCAGTTAAGAGTCAACCACATTGCTTTAGGTCTGGAGTCACATTTAGCCCAGACCAGGTAAGGATGGCAGTTTCCATTAGTGAATCAGATGGGTTTTTCCTGGCAATCGACACTGGATACACAGTCATCATTAAACTCTTAACTCCAGATATTTATTGAATTCAAATTCCTCCATCTGCCATGGCGGGATTCGAACCCAGGTCCCCAGAGCATTATCTTGGACTCTGGATTAACAGTCCAGTGACAATACCACTAGGCCATTGCCGCCCCAGTGTACACATATTTGCACCGTGGGAGGAAACCGGAGCACCCGGAGACATGGGGAGAATGTGCAAACTCCACACAGACAGTCGCCCGAGGGTGGAATCGAACCCGGGTCCCTGGTGCTATGAGGCAGCAGTGCTAACCACTGAGCCACACTGCCACCAAATGAAACCACATTTCAAATTTCAAAAATATATTTTATTAATTAACATATATTTATTTATATACGCAGATAGACGCATAGTCACAAACACAGTTCGGGGTCCTGTACAGTAGCAAATGAGGAAACAAACACTGGAGTTTGATTTTATCCAAAAAGCAAACCCAAGACATCTTTTCCACACACAAGACCATATTTACATACATTAGAATCATATAGAGTCATACAAATATACAGCACAGAAACAGATCCTTCGGTCCAACTCATCCACGCTGACCAGATATCCTATATAAATCTAGTCCCGTTTACCAGCATTTGGGACATATTCCTCTAAGCCCTTCCTATTCAAATATCAATCCAGTTGCCTTTTAAATCTTGTAATTGTACTAGCCTCCACCACTCCTTCTGGCAGCTCATTCCATACATGCACCACCTTCTGTGCGAAAATGTTGCCCCTTTAGGTCCCTTACTAACCATACCTCCTATGTTCACATCCAAATCAATTATATAAATGACAAAAAGCAGTGAATCCAGCACCGATCCTTGTGGCACATCGCTGATCACATGCCTCTAGTCGGAAAAGCGACCTTCCACCACCACCCCGTCTTCTACCTTTGAGCTGTTCTGTATCCAAATAGCTGCTTCTCCCTGTATTCCGTGTGATCTAAACTTGCCAGTCTACCATGCAGAACTTTGTCGAATACTTTACTGAAGTCCACGTAGATTACATTTACTGCTCTGCCCTCATCAATCCTCGTCGTTACTTCTTCAAAAAAATTCAATTAAAGTTAGTGAGACACGATTTCACATGCACAAAACCATGTTGACTATCCCTAATCAGTCTTGCCCTTCCAAATGTAAATCCTGTCCCTCAGGATTCCCTGCAACAACTTGCCCACCACCGATGTCAGGCTCACCCCAGTCTACAGTTCCCTGGCTTTTCCTTACCACATTTCTTAAGTAGTGGCACCATGTTAGCCAACCTCCAGTCTTCCAGCACCTCACCTGTGGCTATCGATAATACAAATATCTCAGTAAGGGGCCCAGCAATCTCTTCCTTAACTTCCCACAGAGTTCGAGGGTACACCTGATCAGGTCCTGGGGATGAATCCACCTTTACGCATTTTAAGACGTTCAGCACTTCCTCCTTTGCTGAACATTTTTCAAAATGTCCCTTTTTATTTCCCCACTTTCTACTTCTTCCATATCCTTCTCCACAGTAAACACTGATGCAAAATACTCATTTAGTATCTCCCCCATCTCCTGCAGTTCCACACATAGGCAGTCTCGTTGATCTTTAAGGGGCCCTATTCTCTCCCTAGTCACTTTTTCGTCCTTGATGGATTTGTAGAATCCCTTTGGATTCTCCTTAAACCTATTTTCCAAAGCTATTTCATGTCCCCTTTTGTCCTCCAGACTTCCCTCTTAAGTATACTCCTACTGCCTTTATACTTTTCTAGGGATTCATTCAATCCCTGCTGTCTATACCTGACACATGCTTCCTTCTTTTTCTTGACCAAAACTTCAACTTCTCTAGTCATCCAGCATTCGCTAAACCTACCAGCCTTGCCCTTCACCCTAACAGGAACATACTGGCTCTGGACTCTCGTTATCTCATTTGAGAGCCACTGGGAGGGTGCAATAACCGAATGGAGCCTCATTTAACTTCAGCAGAAAGACCTCAGACAGCGGTCTTTCCCCACTGTGCCTTGGCAGGAGCTGCCCCAAGCTTTAGTGCATCCCAGGGAACAGACCCTACGGCACAGAGTCCCACAACACGGAGCTACTTGGGATGAACCTCAACAAGAACCACTGCAATTTTCTGCAGACTTCCTTTGCAAAGGCACATTCCAGAAGATGTGTGACAGTCTCATCCCCACCCCAGTGCCGCTTTGAGGGCTGTAGAAGAGGCCAATGAAGTAGTAGGTTTTATTCCAACTACTGGGACAGCATTGAAGACATTATGTGGAGTCCCACAATTAATAAGAGAATCCTGCACGATAGCAAGAAAGATGGGTCAGGATTCCTTGTCCTATTGTTATCCAGCAAGCCCAGTGTGAAAATGAAGATCAAGTGAAGACATGATTGGGGTTAATTTCCATGACTAAATAGCTACCAACATTCCTAATTTTACATCACACACCAAGGATAGCTACTAGGCTGAATTGGATCAAGCCCAGTAGCTGGGTCGTCAAAGATAGAGATTGAGTCTTTTTCTGAGTTTAATCTAGTAAAGCTGCAGCAAGTCATTTTCTGGCGGATAACGGAGGAGCCTTTAAGTGAGTATTACAGGCAGCCAGATTTTTAAATGCAGATTTTAAAACATCTAAAATAATCTGTGTTTGAATATAGAAGCATGAAAGAACTTTCATGTGAATAGTCCTTTTCGACAATAAATTGGAATGCTTCCCTTAGGCCAAGATTATTTAGTAAATGCTTATGCCAAATAAGAAAAGCCATACTGCAGAATCCAGAAATAAATTGTTTGCCCGACAGGCTCCTCTTCAGGACCTCTTAAATGAATTTTGCATTTCATTTCATTTTAGGTAGGAGGCTAAGCCCAGCAGTATAATTTTCAATGTATTTTACAAAAGCCTCTTTCATATTCATCACTCCATATTAGCCTTCCTTGGTCAAGGAAGCCTGTAGCTTTCGTGGTCTCAAATTAACAAAGGACAGCAATTATTACATTACAGTGGTTTCAGCAGACACACTCACTCAGCCTCCATGCAATGAATCATGGATAGAGGTCATTTGGCCCAGTGAGTCTGCACCAGCCCTCCGAAGAGTTTCACATCCAGATCCACCCCCTACGCGATCCCCGTAACCCCGCATTTGCCACGGCTAATCTACTTAGCCTGCACATCTCTGGTAACTACAGGGCAAATGAGCATGGCTAATCGACCTAACAATAACAGCTGCTCGAGTGTGCCATCAATCACAGTCTCTTCTCACAAAGACAGACAGACAGGCTTGGTAGCTACGTAGTATCTTTCAAAACTCCCAAAGCACTTTCCAATCAATGAATTACTCTGCAAGTGTGCTGTTGTAACATAGAAAGTGAAGCATTTATTGTGTGCACAGTATGCTTCCACGTAATGCAGTGCACACATATAATCTGTTTTTTAGCGAAGTCGATTGAGGAATAAATATTGGTGAGGATACTGAGAGAGTTCCCCTGCTCTTCTTCAACACAGTGCCAGGGGATCTTTTACATCCAACCAAGTGGGCAGACGAGGCCTCAAGTTAACGTTGCATCCGAAAGACAGCCCCAAGGCACTGCAGCACTCCCTCAGCACCTCACTAGAGTCCCAGTCTAGATTTTGGTGCTCAAAATTCTGGGTTAGGACTTAAAACTCACAATGGGACTGAGATGCAAGAGTTTTACTAATAGCTCACTTCAGACTTGAAATGCAATGGGGATGAAAGGTTTTTATTCTGGAGATGATTGCCATCAGGCCACTAAATGGACCAATTTAACATTTCAACAGGACCATTTTTAATTAGAGCCAGGATTCAAATTCCAGATAGAGTTTACCCACCTGAATACTGTCCTCATTAAACACTAAAATTTTTCCATTATCCCTTCTAGTTAAATTTATAGACTATGAGTAAATTTTCTCTTTGACCTTTAGAAGACCTTCAATAACAAATGGCATGTGACAATTCTCTTTTGGGAAATCGTATAAAAATCCACTTCTAAATTGATCCCTTTGTAAATTACAACTTCTGCACTGCTTTCAAAAGCAGATTATAAAAAGGGTCTGTGCTGTTCTGCTACATTACAGAGTTACTTAAGGAAAAATGCCAGAAGTGAGGCATTTTTTTGAGTGTTTTCGAATGAGAAATACTCTAGTGTTGTTATGTCAGTAAACATTATAGAGGAATATTTCCTTTCAGCAAAACTCAGCTGCCACCAAAACAGGAAGGGAGAAACAGCAAGAAAACCGATTTCTGCCAGTGTTGTCACCATTGCTTGACAAAGTGCTTCACTCTGCACTCCAAGCAGTGTTTGAAATGTAAATCATTCTCCGAGATTGCTTTTCCTCAGTTTTACATTGTTTTATAGCTCTAGCTATTTCTCACTAAAGGTTTTTGGGACTCAACCAATGCAAGGAAATGAGTACTTGTTTTATTTCAATACTAAACTGAGACAACAATAAATGTTTCCTATCACCATCTTTTTATCCACTTT